AATTTAAATAAAACCGGATAATTCGGATTTGCGGTTGTAATAAACTCGCAAAACCGAATCAACCGAATTTAAATAAATCCGGATAATTCGGATTTGCGAGTTTAAATAAATCCGGATAATTCGGATTTGTGGCTGTATAACAGATATACATACAAGGGCGAATAAATTGGTTACTGATACTGTATGTAATGATTATGTATTAAAGTTAAAAAACAATGTATGGCGTGATTCATATTAAAAAGGTCCATTTTGCAATATAAACAATTTTGAGTAAATTGTCTCTTATTCATTTATGACATATTATCATGAAGAATATAAACAGATATTGCCTTTCTGTCATCGAGCGGTGTCTCTGAGCATCGTTTTCTCTCTCGTTTTTTTTTGACCAAGTATTACATTCCTATCTACGTATGTGACTGTCGTCCCGACAGGCCACAGTTCATGGCTGCCATCTCAGCAGGCCAGTCAAAAACACACATTGCACCATCTTGGGGTGGAGGGAGAGATCGATATAACCAGAACGAAAGTCAGGTTCGCTGAAAAGACAAATTAACTTCCATCGATTTTCCCATGCTTGCTAATATACTATGATCCGACTACCCAATTACCTCATACTTACTCAATTACCTTAATTATTAATCATACATCGTTGCTACGTCGTCGAACATGTGACCGTAATCGGACCTGTCACATTGGGGTATTTGTTTGACTAAAGTGAAATATGATTAAAATGAAATATTTACAATATAAAAAATAGACAATCTACAAAAAAATAAAAAATTTTGGTGTGCATTTTTTAGGGTTAGGGGTTAGGGTTAGAGGTTAGAGGTTAGTTTTAGGTTAGAATTTATAATAAACAAGTATAAGTAGGTTTTAGGTGGTTAAATAGAAACTCTTATTTCATTTTAATTATGATCCGTGACAATTATTAAAGATCTTTTTTGAATTATAGTGATCAGGATAGTATTCGGGATTATCATCATTTAATATATATATTTTAATAGTAAAGAACGACTGAAAGTTTTGAGCAAATCGCTTTACTTTTTTCGATTAAATCTATTCTTAAACAAGTTTATAACAAAGTTCCGTTGAAATTTTTAATGTTAATGTTTAAATTTCAAGTTGACTCTTTAAAAAAATTCTGATTCATATTGTGGATTATTCGAAGAGAGATATTTTCGTTACATGTAAAAATTTTAATACTAAACATAAAATTTTTTAACGTAACCTTGTTATAAACGTGTTTAAGAATAGATTTATATTAAATTAATCGAGAAAAGTAAAGCAATTCGCTCTGGACATCTAAAAACTGTCAAGACATTCTTTACTATTTATTATAAAAAAAGTTATGACCACTATACTATCACTAAATTCAAAAAAAAATTAATTTTTATATGAACCGCATATTGTTTTGTCAAACATAGTACCCCACTGTCACAGGTGAATAGATGCATACAATGTTCTACTCTTGTGTTTGTAAGCTCTGCAAGTTTTCAATCAGGTTCATCAGCGAATAAAGTTCTTAATTTAAAATTCCTTCGCTCATTCGATTTGCATTTTTGTTTTAAGCGGCAGAGTAACCATTGGTGAGCTTTTTATATTCGATGCTTTTTAATCAGTTGAAAATAGACATGTACTTACTTTTGTAATAGTTTGGATGCAAAATTTTTAAGTGAAATTGATAGATCCTATATATATACTAGAGTATGGCTTCAGATATTGCTGGTGTAATTTTTTATCCACCCACTTCTGCCCTTACATTTTGTAGTTTTTTTTCAAAAAAAAAAAAATTGTAATAAATTGTCGACACTAGAATCTTGGTAAGTTATGTAGTTTTTGTACCAAAAGTACTTTCTGGTTTCAAAACGCATTAAGACTTTCGATACATATTTTTTTATTACTACTATACTAGTGGAAAATTTTTTTCAAATGACCCATGTCACGTGACAAGAATTCCTTTTTTGCAACTGGATTAGGTGAGCTGCGGCTGGATTTGAATATATCGATATTCTTCCGATCGTGAATTTGGTTCACAATATCACGTTATCACGGGATCCCAATTTATGATTACTGGAAGTCAAATTTCGTTTGGCAATGACGTGGATCAAGAGTTTAATTTAAAAATATAAATACGGTTTGGCACTAATAACTATCTCTTTTTTATCAATAGCTCAAGTATTCTGAGAATTGCAAGGATAAGGGTTATGACGATTATTATAGGGGCTAACCACCAGAGTGCCACACTTCTGCTATTATTTTTTTTAAAGTAGAGCTTGGATCCAGTGGATATCCGACTATCCATTTGTTTATTCATCGGATAATTGTTAATGTTCAGATATCCTCCCATAATTATCTAACTAAATCCGTTGAATTAACAAAGTCGGTCCTGAATATAATGATTCTTTTTATGAACACATTATTATAGATAAAATTGTAAGATCCAACTTCTTTTCTTTAAACATCCCCTTTTGTTTAATTGAATATTGTTTGTTGAATGTTGTAGTAGTGGGAACTTGAAGGTGTTGTTAAAAATATAACTATTCTACTGAAACTATACTAAAAACTGCAACACTACAATCCAGAGACTCCCAAAACCTTGAATTGGTAGGCCGAAAGAAGCGTGGAATAATTTGGTCCGAGTTTCAAGGTCCTTATGGTGTCACCTCTGGGTTCCAGATAAGTCTTCTTGCTTTAACTTCTGGATTGCCTTAGTTGTATTGAGGTAATTCAATACTAACTCTTCTATCTTGTATCCTTCAAGTCTACTGCTTATTTCGGGATCACGTGTGACGAAATCACAATATCTTCGGTGATCGGGGTCTCAATATTCGATAACGTGTTACGTAGTCTCGATAACTGCGGTGATCGGATCAGTTTGGATTTTTTCTTCTCTGGTTTTTTGTTTGTTATCTAGTTGATCGTCACGGGAATCACGTGGGTGTAAATAGAATCGTGGTATCGATTTATGTCTAGTTTGAGGTAACAATGACGCGATCAATCAATAGTTTGATTTTAATATAAAGAGGGTTCCGATTGCTAATCGATACTCTTTCTCTCTTTACTTCTACGAGGCAGAATAAGGGTTTTTACAAATATCACGGGGACACGAGAATATGGAAAGTGATTTTATTACGAACGATTTATATAAAACGGGGAAAACCACTTAGAGAACTAACTTCTACTCAACGATTTCGAAGTTAAGAACTCAACTAAGACTCTATCTGAGCTAAACTCTACTCGAGTTGTCTTTTATTGAGGTAAAAATTCGTTCTTTTTATACTTTTCTTTTTACATAAGAGAAACTAACTACCACGAATCTCTTTAATTTTTTAATTCTCGAGAATCGTTTAATTCTCGAGAATCTTTTAGTCCCCGAGAATTTTTTTATTCTCGGCCGATCTCTAACTTAACTAAAAATAGAAAAAATAAAAAAAAATAAAAAATACATATATAGAAATTGAGCACAGCCCGAATTCGGGTTGTGCTGCGCCAGTAAATCCACCTTCTACAATGTATAGCAACAAGATTGTTATTTAGCAACTCGCAGAAGGTTTGCTTGAGGTTCACTAAATAATCTTCGTTATTATGAAGAAATGTAAAAAAAAAAACGCTCAAGATATATATAAATAAGAGGAATGGAGTATGAAGTACGTAGAGTATGGTTTACTAGCAAGTTAAGTGAGCCAATTTCACATCTGATTAGATATTCTTCCTTTTGATTTTAACACAATAGAACAACACTCATAAAATCGTGAAACATTATTATCATCACAATTTATTTTAGCACAATAGAACAACGCTTATAAAATTGTGAAACATCAATTTCCAAATTAATTATCTAATATTTACAAACTATTTTGAGCGAAAAACAGCTATAAAGTCAATTGAATGTTTTGCGAATTTAAAAGTCTCTTTTGGTTATAGTTATGATTATGGTTATAGTTATACTTCATGATAACTGAAAAGAAGATAAAAAACTGTTAATAATAGTGAATATGTTAACAAATATTAAGAAAAATTGTTATTCCACTATAGATTTAAATTTCTGATTTCTAGATTTTTCAATTTTCAATAATTTTTCAGTCAGGTTTTTTGCCGTAAGATTATTTAATAATCGCAATGTTTCTTAGCGATCGTAGTTTATGTACCAATGAAGTCAATGCAATTGGTTATTAAAACGTGATCAAAATGTTAAGTCAATGAGTAACGGTAATGGTAAGAATATCATCACTAATTGTTAATCACGAGTTATCAACAAAAAAAAATTAAATGAATAAAAAGGAAAATAGTAGAACCAACTCCCGGGAGCCATAGCATATTACTAAACCACTAGTAAAATCAAGTATATATATTCTTTAATTGAATGACAATTCAAAATACAATCAAGTATCACATTCCTTAGGTCGAAACATGCCAAAATGCTCACTGTTTCTTTTTAAAAACAAGACCTGGTTAACCAAATCTGGAGACAACCGAGTACGCTTTGCAGATATATAATTACCCGCATCTGAAAATAATCTCTCGCTTGGTACAGATGTTGCAGGAATTGATAAATATTTTTGTGAAAGTTGGGATAATACAGGAAAATCATTTTTGTTGATATCCCACCATTTTAAAGGATCTTGGTCAACATTGATTGGCCGGTACTTCATATAACGTGACACTTCATCCTCCTCAGCTAAAAATGAACTGCTTAATCCTTTACGTTCTAATGCTTGAAAGAAATCATCGTCATCATCAGTACAATCGTTAATAGGTGTTGCTTGTTGAATATCACCAGTTTGAAAATCTCTTTTTGCAGAATCATATTGTGCTTGTAATACTTTAAGTGATTCGTTTTTTTCTTCATTTGTATCATTCCATTTGAAATCTTTAAAGCGGGGATCGAGTATTGTTGCAATTCGAACTAAATCTGATGGTGCTGACCACAATTCATCAAGTGATAAAAAAATAGCTGCCCGAACTTTTTGTAGAAGGCCAACAGTATCAGCAGTCGGTAAATATTCAACATGGTTGAAATCATCCACATTTTTTTCAGAATTTCCTTTCCTAATGTTTTTACTATATTTATTTGTTCTTCCTTTACTTTTTTTTCTCCCTTTTCCTTTGGTCGACTGCATTCGTTGTCGAAATTGGCGATGAGCATATTGCCAATGCCGCCGTGAACCACCAGATGGAGTTTCATCTTCTTCACTTGTTGAGCTATCAGATTCTTCTACTTCTTCCTCATTGTCATTTTCACTTTGTTGCCCATATATCAAATTAAGATATGTATCATAAGTTTCTCCATTTTCATAATTAGGTTCAAATGACTTTTTTAGTAATTCGATATAAGGATGAACAAGACTTAAAGTACAATATGTTGCTCCACATATTCGGCGTGTTATTTTTTCAAATGGTGAAAGAAGTTTCACCATGTCCTGGAGAAATCTTTTTAGAAAAAAGAATAAATAATTAATAATATTAATATAATATCAATATCGGTACTGCTTACTTTACTGACAGTTATTTTACCAAAAGTTTATTTAGCCGACCTCATTTAAGGTTAGGGTCAGCATTTGATTAGTTACAGATATATATATTTTTAGTAAATTGTCACTTGGCATGATGTTTGCTAAATGAGCTGTCAGGAATGATTGTCAGTAAAGTAAGAAGTATCCTATTAATATATAATCATATTATTATAGAGGTACTTGTGCGGGCCTAATAAATATAGGTTAGAAATTTTTAGTTATATAACCCGCACAGACCTCACTTTAATCTTACTGTTTTTCATCAAAGGATAAGCATAATTGCTCTAATTTTTCTCCCTCTTGTTGTGACAATCGATCTGGCATTTCTAACAATGTATTCGAAACAGATCGCATCGAAGTGTGTAGGTCTAATATTCTCTTCCAGGCATAATAAACAGAGTTCCATCTGGTCTTAATATCCGTTAACACTTCAAGTGGATTATAGCGATCATCTTCTGATAACTGACCAGAATTTTTTTGAGCTTCTCTAAGTCTTTGAGCTTGTTTTGGAAGACGAAAAAAAGCTTGCAAACTTTTAACTCGACGATGTACTTGTTTGCATTGCTTTAAACCTTGCAAAACTGAAAGTTGCAATGTGTGTGCAACGCAAGATTGCCGTTTAACTTGTAACAATCGCCCACTCAACAGTTGAACACCCTTTATCATGTTTATAGCATTGTCTGTTACAATAGTTAATGCTATATTCGACAAATTCCAATTCTTTATAACCCGAAATAATTCATTACTAATAGCCTCGCCTGAATGTGGATATGGAAGGTGATTGCAAGATAAAAGTGCTTCGCAAAATTCAAAATTAGATGTTAACCATGTTGCCGTTATACCAAGATACCCATGCCGAGATTTTGCCGTCCATAAATCAGTAGTTAAATGGATGGCAGTAATATTATTACTTAAAAATAAGCGAAGCTGTTCCTTATTCCACATAAATGAGTCATAAATTACGGCCTTTACTGTTTTATCACATGGGATTTTATAGCCGGGCTCACAGGTAAGAAGAAGTTCACGAAAGGATTGGTTTTGCAAAATATATAAGGGTTGAACAAATTGAACAATAAAAGAAACAAGCATTTGAGTAATAAGTTCTTGTCGTTTTGGTGAGCACGGAGTTACTGCTTTTGTATATTCAGTTATCTTGGTTTGATCACGTCGAGGCTACAAAGTATTAATAACAAATTACTTTTAATTCTAATTTGAAAATGCAATATAATTTGTATATACTTCATTATGTTCATCCAAAAATTCTAAATAATTTTCTTTTGTTATTTTATGCTTATCACGTAAATGATTAATAAGGTTTGTCGTATTCCCGCCTCTTCGATTATATGGGTAAGGCTTATCTCGTGTACCAGATAGATTAATGTCACATACTTTACAATAAGCAATAGAGGAATCATTTGGATCTACTTCAAAAAAATAAGATGTATGACTACGATTACTACGGAATTTTGTGTTTGTTTTAACAGATGGTAATGTAGATTTTCGCTTTTTTCGAGTTAAACTATTAGCACTTGAAGCTGAGGGTGCTGTTGAAGTGGTTTCAGCTTCAGAATTAACTTCAACATATAAATCCTCCATGTCATCCATATTTTTTGAAAAATAAAATTTTTAATATAGCACAATCAAGGATTTATATGCGGATACCAGAAGTTTTTAAGGCTTAAAATGAATTAATACTTTTTTTTTTAATCGTTATAACCATACTGCTATATATTAGGAACCGATCACTTTTAGAATTTGCACATTCGTTCTTGTACATATGCATTAGAAGTTAAATAAACTAGATCTAAAATTTAATTAAAATAAATAAATTTTAATCCCGAATTAAATCTCGTTTTTTTTTTAACTTTAACCCAGTTATTACATATCAAGATAACCAAAATATGATTTCAACTTTTAACTCACAATTATTATATATCAGGTAACAAATTTATAATTTATGCATTTACTCTTGTACATATCTGAAAAATAGATTGATGTACTATCGCTATAGTGATAGTAGCTGGAAGAAATTAGATTTAGTAAAAATACAAAACCTTTAAACAGGTAAGGCTAAGTTAACTCATATGTTTATCTGTTAATCGTGGAACATACTAGTAATTACATATCAGATAACCGACATAAACCTTGATTTTTAAATCCAACTCATAATCATTACATATAGTATCAGGTAACCAATTTATAATTTACGCATTCGCCCTTGTACGCATTCGGAAAATGCATACTAGGTTGGTGTATCATGA